CACTTGGTCATGTAAGCAGGCAGTGAAACGCCACAGCCAATTTGTGCACAGTGATGTCCCACAAACAGCCATTAAGCAAATGACCAATTTTATCTGGGAGATCGTTGGCCAGAAAAACCTGAACCGGAAGAAACCTCCTTCTCTTTTCGAATAGTGCCGCGGGATCTTTTAATGTTCCCCTGAACAGGCAGATGGGACCTTTGGTTTTGACGTCTCATACGAAGGGCGACATCTGCCCCGTGTCGAGTCATGAAACTTCTGTCTGACTCAACACGGTTTAGTTAGAATACGAAAGAAAGTGATGAAATGACATTAACCAGATGGTTTGATTTGGATGAAATGTGTTATTTTGCTGGCAGCTGGGGAAGTGCCCTTCACATAAAGGATTTTTCTCTCTCTCTGTGCTTGGAGGCTTGGATTATGTTCCACTTAGTCTTTGTTGTTTCCCACCTCCCCCCCACCCCCCACAAGGCAGGAGGCAATCCATCTTCAAGGAGTAGAAGTTTCCTTGAAACCCATTGTAATACGAGATTTGCAAAGCCAACAATGACCGGAGCAAAAATTCCCACAGGGTGTGAATTGCCCCCCAATCTAGTTTAAACACAAACACAATGCTCTCTCTCCATTGCAAGGATAGCTCTTTGTAACGGATGTAAATAGAGGTCGGAGAGAGCAGCATACATTTATCGCACCTATTCATACCAGAGCCTTAACAAGACTGAGTTAAGAAAATACATTCTCTTGCAGTTTTTCCTCTGGTGTCTGACACATGCGGAAACCCATCCCCAATCTTAAGAGTATCCAAATCAGAGTGAGCAAGTCAGAATAGTAAAAGAACAAGATCACACTGATTTTGGGTTGCAAAGAACAACTTCAGGACCTGTATCAGAAAGTATTTATGCCGAACTGGGAGGTGGTGAGAAGTAGTGAGGTCACTTCCTCGCCGCAGACTGGGCCATTAAGTGGTGGTGGAACTCAAGTATGGCTCATTGGGTCAGATGTCAGCTCCGCATGATGCAGAGGATGCCTGTTGAGGACGAGATAAAATGAAGCCCTCGTGTGATCGAAGGCTTTTCACTTTGCCAAAGTGTCTCAAACGCTGTTTTTTTAATTTTGTAAAGATTTAAAATTTGGTCACTCAATCCACGACTGTTTGTGGGTCGTCAGCTGCTGCTCAAGACCTGCGCCTACAATTGGTGGAAGCACAGGTCTTATTATTAGTCAGTCACCTCTCTATCACCCACCTTATTGTGGGCCCGAACATGGTAGTCGATAGGAAGGTGACTGAATAATAATAATAGAGTTATGGCCAGTAAGAGATCCCTCCCCCACCCACCCTCCAGTAGAACAACTGGCTGTTTGTGGGCATTGCTGCCCACAGAATGGCTGCCACGTTCCCTTACAGAATATACACAAGCCGCTGCACTTGGCAGAAAATCCTAGACCCTTTGAGGTGTCCTCCTGATGTGAAATGCACCACGAAGAGAGCAAAGATTGTTGTTGTTAGGATTGTAACAGATGAGTGATTTTCGGATGACACATTAAACCAAAGTCCCGTCTGCCTGTTCAGGTGGATGTGAAAGTTCCTGTAGCGCTTTTGAAAAGAGAAGGGAGTTTCTCCCAGCCAACAATCCATCGGATAAAATTGGATCACTCACTTCATGGCTGTGTGGAAATTGACGGTTGTGTTTGCCTGCAAATCCACAGTCTTTGAGGATGAGATCAAATGATGCTCTTGTGTGATCCAACATTTTTCACTTTGCCAAAGCATCTTAAACCCTCTGTGGAATCGGGATGTGGGTTCTTCGGTATGAGTTTTACACACAGGTAAAAATTTTGTGAAGCGCTTTGAGAAATCCCTCCAAAAAAAACCAAAAAAATAATAAATTGGTCATTTTCAATCCACGACTGTTTGTGGGACACTCCTGTGCGCAATTGGCTGCCGCGTTCGCCCACAAATATACAGTCAATTCACTTTACAGTATATTCTGTGAAGTGTTTTGGGACGTCTAGAAGACGTGAAAAGCGCTATATCAAATGCAAGGATTATTATTATTATTATGATGTGTCTGCATCAAACAACATTCCATAAAGCTACCACACAAGTTACCTGAAGGAAAATTATATAAGAATTGGTCACATTCCAGAATATGGGTTGGAGTAGAGTAGCAATGAGTGAAGGACCTTAAACCTAGTTCCTGTTTTACTTGTTCAGGTGGAAGTTAAATAGTGCCGTGGCTCCATTAAAAAAAAAGGCAGTTTCTCTTGGTGTCATGGACAACAATCACCCAGATAAAATTGATTACTCGCTCCATGGCTGTGTGGATGCAGCCAAAACCCTCATGCATGCGTTTGTCACCTCCCGCTTGGTTTCCTCCAACGCACTCCTTGTTGGTCTCCCCAGCTCCACCATTCACAAAATCCAGCTTATTCAGAACTCAGTGCCACCCACATACTGACCCAAACCAAACTCTGTACCCACATCTCATCAGGTCTGGCCCAGGCTCCACTGGCTCCCCAACACCGAACGGATCGACTTCAAGATCCTCACTCTCGTGTTCAAATCCTTTCACTCTATGGCAGCCCCCATACCTCTCCGACCTCCTTACTCCCCCATTTCACTAACCGAAGCCTCCGCTCGACTGGCACCGGCCTCCTGCTCTTCCCTCACACCCTCCGCCCCACCATTGGAGTTCATGTTTTCAGCCACTACGCCCCGAAACTCTGAAACATTCTCCCTCAATCCCTCCTCCTTGACCCTCTCTCCCCTCTTTCAAGTCCCACCTGAAAACTTTCCTCTTCAACCGTGCTTACGGCCATCTCTCCCATCCCCCCGGCTCGGAGCCAGGCTCTGCCACTGTTAAACGCTCTGAGACACTACCCTGCGTGGAGGGCGCTGTATATGTGCAAGTGGAGTCCTGTAGCTCAGTGGTTAGAGCACTCGCCTCGCAAGCGAAGAGACCTAGGTTTGATTCCCGGCAGGGGGGGCGAAACCTTGGGTAAGTTTCCTTACTCCACACACACACACAACATGCGGCTGACAATAATCCCTCGGGAGTGGGGGTGGGGGGGGATAGAATAATACTAAAACCGGTCACTTCAATCCGCGACTGTTTGTGGGGGCGCTACCGTGCCCAATTGGCTGCTGTGTTTTGCCCACAAAATACACAGTCATTGCAACTGTGCAGTATATTCTGTGAAGCGCTTTGAAAAGTCTCGAAGATGTGAAAAGCGCTGTATCAAATGCAAGGATTATTATTGTTATTCTTAAATTCAACGTTGGTCGGGCTCAATGGTATCAGTGTTAATAATAATAATCCTTACATTTAGTACAGTGCCTTTCACGTCGGGAGGGGTCAGCCTTGGAAAAAGTCTGGGTAGATTGGTGACAACTGCTGTGGGTTGTATCAGTGTGCCATTGAAGTTTAATTAAGGAAGACTGTTTATACCTGCTCAACAGCTATTAAATATTTGTATATTTCTTGGATATAATAATAATAATCCTTGCATTTGATATAGCGCTTTTCACGTCGGGAGGACGTCCCAAAGCGCTTCACAGAACACACTGTAAAGTGAATTGACTGTATATTTGTGGGCGAACGCGGCAGCCAATTGCGCACAGCAATGTCCCACAAACAGTCATGGATTGAAAATGACCAATTTTATTATTGTTTTTGGTTTTGGAGGGATTATTATTAGGCTCTGTGTGGAGTAAGGAAACTTGCCCAAGGTTTCGCCCTCTGCCTGGAATTGAACTCAGGTCTCTAGCTTGCAAAGCGAGTGCTCAACCACTGAGCTACAGGACTCCACTGGATGTCACATCAAGGTTCAATTATGGAAATTCCCTCCTCATCGGCCTTCCCAACTCTTCCCTTCACAAGCTGCAGATCATCCAAAACTCTGCAGCTCGTGTACTCTCGCACACTCAGGAACTCCATCCCACGGCCCCCTCGCCTCGCTTCCTCCCTCGCCTCCTTCAAGGCTGGTCTCAAGACCCTCCTCTTTGATTGTGCCATCGGTCACCCTCCCACCTCCCTGCCTTCCCTCACCCCTAACCCACCCCTAGCCCCATGCTCAGATCCTGACCCCTGACTGTCCAGCGCCTTGGGACGACCTCCCGAAGTGTGAGGCGCTCTATAAATGTAATGTCGTTGTTGTTGCTGATCAGCACCGGGAGCGTTTGTTCCTTCAGGGCCAGGCGCCGGAGCTGACGCTCGCGAAGCGCTCCGGGACCCCGCCCAGCGCGGCGGGCGCCACCAGACGCAGGTTGTTGTTGTTCATCCAGCGAAGCGCGGTATATCCTAACGAAGCGCTTCGGGTGCGAGAGAGAGGGAGAGAGAGAGCGACGTCTCGACGGCGTGATAAGGAGCTCGCACCGACTGCAAGGAGTGTGAGCGGTCCCAGCGGCTGCTGCGTTTTTTTGTTGCAAGGATTGCGACGACGAGGACGATGACGACGACGATTCACTTATAAGAATGATCCTAATAATAATGAAGACGACGGCGATCAGAGCGTTATTATTAATTGCAATGATCGCAACAACAATAATGAAGACGACGACGATGATGATGATGATTATTTATGATGATGATGATGGGGATGGGGATGGAGAGGCTCAGGGATGGAGCCACTGCCCAGTGTGTGCACGTGGGGTCTGAGTGCTGTTCCCCTCTCACTCTCCTCCGCCATTGGCTGCAGCCGCCGCACTCCCTCCTCTTTGCCTTCAGCCGCCAAACCACGCCGAGATGGGCAAATAGTTCCTTCCTCCTTTGCACCCCCCCCCCCGCGCGCCCCCCCCCCGCCCTATTTTTTTGTGATCACCCAGGAATCAATGAAAGGAGATCAATCGAATCGATTAGGGTATAATAGGAGAGAGAGAGAGAGAGTGAGAGAGGAAGTGCCCTTTGTGTATTTTTATATATAAAGGCTTGTGAAAGGGAAGGCGGATGGATATGTGCGCTGGTCCTCCCGGTGTGAGGCGGCTGGTCCTCCAAGGCTCAGTATATGAGGAGAGACGGAGCCGCCGCTCAGGACTTTGCTGCAGCATCTGTGCCCCGGTATAGCCCGCACTGAGGTACTGGGGGAGAGGCGGGAGGGAGGGAGGGAAGGAGGGAGAGGGACGAGGAGGAGAAGAAAAGGAGGGGAGAAAGAGAGGGATATGAGAGAGAGAGAGGAAGGAAAGTGAGAAGAGGAGAGAGAGGGAAGGATGGAGGGGAGAGAGAGGAGGGGGAGAGGGAGAGGAGGGGGGAGAGGGAGAGGAGGGGGGAGAGAAGGGGTAGAGAGGAGAGAAAGAGGAGAGGGAGAGGAGGGGGGAGAGAAGGGGTAGAGAGGAGAGAAGGGGGAGAGGGGGGGGAGAGAGACGGATGGGGGGAGAGCGATAGGAGGGGGAGAGAGAGAGGGAGGGGGAGAGATGGGGGAGAGAGGGAGAGGAGGGGGGCGAGGAGGGGAAGGGGGAGAGAAGAGAGGGGGGGAGAGAGAGAGAGGGGGAGAGAGAGAGGGGGGGGAGAGAGAGAGAGGGGGAGAGAGAGAGAGGGGGAGAGAGAGAGAGGGGGAGAGAGAGAGAGGGGGAGAGAGAGAGAGGGGAGAGAGAGACGGATGGGGAGAGAGAGACGGATGGGGAGAGAGGGAGAGGAGAGGGGGGAGAGAAGGGGGAGAGAGGGAGAGAAGGGGGAGAGAGGGAGAGAAGGGGGAGAGAGGGAGAGGAGGGGGAGAGAGGGAGAGGAGGGGGAGAGAAGGGGGGGAGAGATAGAGAGAGGAGGGGGAGAGAGAGAGGACGGATGGGGGGGGGAGAGAGGGAGAGATAGAGAGGAGGGGGGATTCGGTGGCTCCTTCTAAAACACCTTCACTGCGGGGGGGTGAGGCCACATGTAGATGTGTATTATATATATATATATATGTGTGTGTGTTTGTGTAGATAATATATAGTGTCTCTCTATATAGATATACACTAGTGCGGGGGGTATAGTAATATAGCGTATATTTATGTGTGTGTGTGTATATGTATGTATGTGTGTGTGGGGGGGGGGGTCACTGTGCCTGGTGTCCTGTCCCCCCCCCCCCCCACCCCACAGGAAGCTTCAATGTCTCACAAAGGTCACTGCAGAGATTATAAATCCCTCCCAGTGAAAGCCTGAGAACAGTCTCCCATTAACTCTCTCTCTGTGCCCCACCTCGGCTTAGAGTGAGCTCAAAAAGGTGCAGGTCCTTATCTTTCTGGATGAGGGTTAAAATGGATTTGCGTGTATATGTTTTTACATATGTGTATAATCTATATATATATATATATAATATTGTACTGTGTATGATTATTGACTGCACGTGTATCAGGGGCGACTGTGCTTTTATCTGTACTGCACAAATCTTTTTATGTAATATAATATAGGCTTTTATTATGTGTGTGTGTATACACACAGGTATATTACCTGTATGAAAAATTATAAAATTTATGCATTTATTTGTGTGTGGAAAAAAAATGCTATGGGGCTATTGTTTTATTTATTTGAGTTTTTTTTAATATATATATAAAATCAGGGGTTTTATGTGAAGGGGGGGTAAATTATAGGGAAGGGGTGGGAGGTATGGGTGTGTGGGCTTGGGTGAGTTTGGAAGTTTTTTTTTAAGATGGTAAAATGTTATAATGTCGAGGGGCCGTTAATATAAAGTTCACGTGGAGGAAAGAATCATCTTTAAGTCCATTCATCATGCGACGGGATGCTTGCAAGGAGGCGAGTGATTAACCTTCCCCACAGGCTTTAGCGGTCGAAAGCGATCTGATCTCTTTTTGTCTCCCCCACCCCCAGATTTAAATGAAAAAAAATTCAACTTTTTCCTCTTATTTAAGCTCTTGCAAAGCATCGTCTGCGGGAGGGAGTCGAGCTCTCTGTGATGCTCTCTTTCTGCAGGTCCTTGAAATAACTTAAGTTTGTAAGGTATAAAACGCTACAGTTTACAGTCATTTATTTTAAAGACGTCGTATTTCTCTTTAAGTAAAGTTTTTTTTTGGGTGGGGGTTGGGTGCTGGGGTTTGGGACGGTGGGGGTGGGGGGAGGGAGGGGAAGTGGCTCAGAAAGTGACCCTCAGTTTAAAGTGCACAATAGGGATCAGTTGGAGGGATGACTCGTGCAAAAATCCTTTATCCTGTGTGGTTTAGCAAATCAAATAGGTATTTCTCTCGGTGGGGCTGATAGAAATGGAGATCTTTAGACAAGAGGAGGCGGGGAGAGCACCTCCACGTGAATTTGAGTCCTCACGAGGCAAACTGTAACCCAATCCTCACTTTTTGCTTCAATTGCTGGCACAGGTTTCCTCTTGAGATCTGATCCTTTTATAGATAACCCTGCTTGCTCTGCTCGTCGTGTTGCATCTTGTATTCCAGCCGGGCCTTTGGTTTATTTAAGCTGCTCCTTACGTGCCTGTGCTTTGTGTGGAGGATGGAAACCTGACCCGGGCTTTAGAACACTGCAGTGATCCCTGTGCTTGTATCAATGTCAAATTAAAAACATTGGGCAGCGCTTTCAACCCAGTGAAAGGTTTGTTAACCTCCCCCCCCCCCCCGTCTTCTACACGATTGCGGTGGCTAAAATAAAGGGTAAGATCTGATCAGCACAGGTCCCGTTCCCCCCCCCCCCCTAAGTAGGTGGTCGCTGAGCCAGCCGCAATGTGACGCGGTTTCACTTTGTAAGCCCTTGAGAAGAGTGTAGTGTGTGTCGCTCGGAAAAGCTTTGCTGTTGGGCCTGCTGATATCGTACAGACAGAATGGACATGAATAAACGCTGCATCACAATTAGTTCCGCAATGCGAGGCTCAATACTGGAAGACATTGCAGTAACACTCTCTCTGCCCCCCCCCCACCACCACCCCCTTCTGCATTTGTTTCTATTTTTTTATATAGTATGTGTGTTTGTGTTCTTGTTAATGTATTGTGATGCAGAGAATGGGGACAAAGCTATACTCATAAAGCAAACCCCAGCATCTCGGGTGGCTATCATTGCAACATTTCGGGAAATTAAAATGCGCAGGATCCTCAAGCCACGTTTTTTGGGGGACTGTTTGCATCCACGTTTTTCTCAATTATCAGGTGATCTTTTGAATGATTCATTTTTAGAATGAATCATCATTTTCCCCTTAGCTTACCAGGCTGCTTTTGCCCCCGCAGCCCCCCCCCCCCCCCCACACAAACCACAGATGCGAGCCAAACTGCACGTACACTGGTATTGGGACATGACTGGCACATCTTTAGATTAATGCAAGCAGAGAGCAGAGTGAGCATCCTCTTAGCCTCCATGTTGAACAATCCCTCCATGGCCTGATTTTTTTTCGTTAAGATTAACTTGCGGGTTTCATCACCGATTCTATACTGCTTTCTGTCTTTTTAATCAAGAAAAAGTATTTGTTTTATTTGATGCAAAATTAGAACACATTAATATTAAGTATAACGTTTGTAATCTGTAGGGTTTGTCTCGGGTTTAAAGGTATCTGTTTTGTTTCCGTGGGTGGAGGGGTGCGGTCTCATTTCCTTTTCTGAAGGATTTTGAGGTTTTAGCTGGGGGTACAGCTTTGTATGATTTTGTGCTAGCAGCCAGGAAGGATTTTATAAGTGGTGATGATCGTGTGACCATTTTCTTAAAACAAATTACTACTGAATGCTAATATTTTGCAGGATATTGTACATTTGAAATTCTCCGGCTCCAGCACATGAGGTGGTCATTTGGCCCATTGTTTGTTCTGCTGGTTGCGGCCCCGCTAGCGCTAACTGGTCAAATTTCATTTCCCTGATCATGTTACACATGGTCATGCTGGAGTGGAGAGATAAGATTCCCTTCTAGGTATTGATTCAGCGTCCTGATTAGGCATTGATGGAAACAATTCCCTCAGGATACAAGTATTTTAATTTGCCGAGACGACTATCTTCCCATTTAGTAATTTTATGAATTGATTAATTACATGTTTTTGGGGGTCTCGTTTATCACTGGGGAGGTACCAATGTTAAAACTGAAATACTGAACAGATTCTATGGCACTTTTTGAAACTAATTTAGTTTCTCCTGGTTGATCCAGCAATCCTCCCCTCCTTCCCCCCACCCCCAGGTAAAATATGTCCATTTTATGGTGGTTTGTGTGCATATTGCTGCCCAGCTTGTCTGTAAAATCCAGTCACTGCACTCGCTGTAAATCCTGTGAAGCTTTTGGTGTGTAGTCCTGACATGAAAGGCACCATCTAATGCAAGGATTGTTGTAGACAATAAGCAGCAGTGAATGCATTGTGATGGAATAGTATTGTCCAGGATTTTCTGTGGGTTCTCTAGAAACAGCTGGTTGTCTCTAGATGTAATTGAGGGTGAATGAAAATGAATAGGGATTTGGTAAACTAATTTGTCTTATTGGGAACAGTCCATAGGATTCTTAGCAAGGATTTCTTAACACTGGAATAAATCTAATTTAAAGCTATTCCCTAAATGCCACAACTTCACAGGAAGGCTGATTGCCGTATTTAACCTTATTTACAATATTGTAAGATCTGATCCTTAATCAATATGCTCCAACAAGGGCATCAGTGGTTGTTGCTCCTGCTATTGCCATTATGTAATACACGTTTGTTTTTGCAGGAAGTACAGGCATCTTAAGAACTTTGTATTTATGGTGCAGACACCTTGCTACTGTTGGCATAAGTACAGAGTGCTGTTCTAAAGTGCACAGCAAACCTTTAATAAAAACTACATGTGAACTTTGCCACTCATTACATTCTTGATGAGAATTACAAAAGCCTAATTGTTTATACTTGACTGTTTTTAGGATGAACCGCAGAAGTTCAATCTGACTCGATAGTGTAGTTTGGGACGTCCTCCCGACATGAAAGGCGCTCTATAAATGCGTTGTGTTTTTAGTTGGGAATGCAGTTGTTGTAGTAATTCTAACAAAGGCTTAATGAGGAAATACTGCAGTCACTTTCAGTCTGGCATGGACATGATAATCTCATGCCAAACCTTTTGAGCTGAGTGTACAGGTGCTTACTGCCTTTGCTAGTATTTTAAATAGAGCTACAAGTATTCATTTTGCAAACTGGAGCCTATAAAAGCTCAAATCAACGTGGCTGCATTCAGTCTAAGGGGCATTTTTTTAAAAACAGAAATTACTTAACTTTATGTTGACCTTATCGTATTTTTCCACTGTTCCCTAGTCATTGGGTTGCATTTTTATAAACTGCCTATCCTGAATGGATGGATTAATAGTGTTACATTAATTTGTCCTTGCAAGAACTTTCAAATGTCTGCTAGTTCATGAGTTGGGAAAACCTGAGCCTGATTCTCATTTTATGTGAATCAAATCAGACTGGATTGGAAGTGACTAATCTTCCAATGAAGATAAATAGGGTGGTCAGTCTATCCTGGAAAGAGATTATGACGTGAACACACATTATTCGCGCTTTTGACTTCATGTAATATTCAAGATTTCAGATGGGACTTCATTTCAAAGTTGAAATTTGATTGTCAAAGCTGTTTAAAATATGACTAACTGGTGAATGCTATTTGTTCTTTTTGTGCTGAAATGACTTCATTAAATGAAACTTTGCCAGCATAACTAGTAATTCATTCAGTGGCTTGGCAAAACAATGACCTTTCTCGATGTGCAACTGATCATCATGGTCTAGTTAGCCTGGCTGCACACAGACAAAACACTAGCGTGATGATGAATAATGTAGCAATGAAAACTGAAATTCTTTTGTGGTGTGTTATCCAATGTGCAGTTACGAAAATTTTCCATAATGTAACTTGTCTGGTGCCCTTTATGTGGGCCTAACCTTTGTAGTAATTCAATTAAGTTGTTTTTGATGAGCAATTATTGAGTTTTTTTTAAATGTTCCAGTGGTGGAAAGCAGGCATGTAGTGACCTGGACTTGGGTTATTTCAATAACAAATTTACATTTGTGTAGTACCTTTTTTTTCAAGTCAGGAGGACTTCCCAAGGCTCTGGACAATCGGGGATTTGGGTCAGTGGTATAAGAATAAGTGGTTCAATAACATGGGAAAGAAGTAAGCCACTGTACGTTCTCTAGGCAAGCCACCACAGTCTCTTTTCCCGTTAGCTTTCATATAATGTTATAGGGTTGTTAGGATTGTTCCTTTCCAATGGGCCTCTCATGTGTGTTTCCAATTGCTAAACTCCCAAAACTAGTGATAATAAAGGTTTGTACACCTCAGCCATCTGTTTGCAGATTCCATTAAATTACCATTGCTTGACATCATTCTAATAATTTTAGCCTGAATATTATGCTGAACTCTTTGGTAAATGTACCCTACTTCTTTCCGTCAACTTCTTGGCAAATAAGTCGAGTCCGTGTTAGGGTTGCAAAACTTGCATAGGATTTCAACAGTTCCTTATTCCCTCTTTGTTTCCTCTTTCTTTCTCTCGTCTTGTACAGAAAGTTCAGCTTGTTCAAGATTTGCAAAGCACAGGCCTTTATTTTTGTAAATGTAATTTGCCTCCAATTACACCTTAGGAAGTATATTCTGGTATGGCAAATTAAGCAAGTTACTGAGGTCTAGGTGCTCTATGGGTAGGCAGAACACCAAGTTAATTGAGTCTGGAGCGCAGCTGTTAAGGCTGTTATGATTATCTCAAAACTCTCCCCAAATCTTTTTAAATTCCTGCAGCTGGGTTCACTGTGCTTAATTTATCCCAGAGTGTTTGGGTGTAAGGACCTGTAATTGAATTGTTTTTGAAGCGTATAAATTCAATTACATTGATCAGTAATCAGCCTGGCTGCATTGGTGTCAAGGCCACCGGGCTTGAAGGTTGTAGTCTCAAGCATTACATTAGGACTTTGAAATTGTACTGAGTTGTAGTCTTGAGCAGACGTTTCAGTGTACTGCTGGAGGTGGTGCTTCTCTACAGATGAGACAAACTAAGGTCCTGTCTGCTGATTCAGATAGACTTTAAAGAAATCATAAGTTCATCTGAAAAGAAAAGGGAGTTTCTGCCAGTGTCCCCATCATGTTTTTTTCATTTGAGGACTGTCGGACAATGCCATGTTTTTTCTCCTTACAGAGAAACTTGAACACTATATCAATTGCAAGGATTATTATGTTTGGACATCAGTTTGATGCAAAACTAATGCAGTACAAATTTACATTTATGTATGTAGCACCTTTCACATTGGCACTGGGCAACCTCATGTTTGCACCCAAGCTGGTGGTGGAGTGAAAGCACAGCCTGTGTGTCGTATGGTACTCTAACAATTACAGATTTGATAGTGTGATCNTTTTTTCCGCCCCCTCCCGGGTTTCGTTCAGACCACTTCATGATACCTTATGAGCATGAATGTATAAATCCCAACTATGTAGTGTAGGTGGGCCAATAATGCTTAACCTAGCAAAGTAGATCTGGTTTATTTAATTGGTAAGATAACTTTTGTATTACATAAATCTTAACCTGTGTCAAGATACTGAATACAAACTCTCAAATGCGTTGCTTTCTAGTTTTGAGTTGAATCTTGCGAAATCAGAATGTTATCATAAAAGTAGCAAAATTAATTGATTTCATGGTACAAAATTCTTCAGCTGCCAAGTGTTCTTTTGGAAATGTTTGTACCTGACTTAAATCTGTTTGGTTTATTCGCTCCCCTCTCCCCCACTTTAGATTAGAAGTTACAACCATGGCTGTCGATATGGGATCTGCTTTCATTCAGCATCAACAGCTCAGCGCTGCTATGGCCGACACATTCCTGGAACACCTGTGTCTCCTAGATATAGATTCTCAAGCAACAACTGCTAGGAACACTGGCATTATCTGTACAATTGGTATGTATAGCAGTGTTTCCCAGAAAATGCATTCAATGCTATGTGCAATTGTTTTACTAATGATGTCTTACTAAGCAGTATGTTGTGGCAGCTGTGACTCTGTTTTAAGTTTTATTGAAGCAGTGTTTTCCATAATATGCATCTTTGGTCTTCTGCTGTAAACAGTAGATTGCTGAAGTTTTATCTTTATTGTCATTTCACTTTCTTATCTGTTAATCTTCCAATACATATCTAGCAACTCCCAATCCCTCTTACAAAGGCTTCAGTTAGTTTGGTATTGCTATGTGCGGTTGTACGTTATATGAAAAGAAGGGCAAGTACTGCAAAAATTATGCATCTGTGTCCTCGGGTGCTATAACTGGAGCCTTGTGTATGGCAAGGATGTTGCATGTGTCTCACCTTCATTAAATGATCTGCATTGATTAACAGTATTACATCTGGTGGAACTTGTATATTAAAGACAATAACTCCCTCTACTCTGCTTCTTTGGAAAAACTTAATGTTCTTGGCTATTCACAGGACCCGTCTCCAGATCTGTTGAAATCCTGAAGGAGATGATTAAGTCTGGGATGAATATTGCACGCATGAACTTTTCCCATGGATCGCATGAGGTAACTTTATGAAACTCTGCTCTTTCCCTGTTCCTCTGCAGTCTATAGATCTACATTTTTAAGGAAATGTAGCAGTTTAAGTATTTGTAGGATTTTTATTAGATTTCAGTTGAGTGGGCATCACTCTTGTATAATTTGGTGTATAGTAATTTGGCCACTCAATCTACAACCGTTTGTGCGCAATGGCTTCCATATTTTGCCCACAAAATACAGTCACTACACTTCGCAGTATATCCTGTGAAGCGCTTTGAGACATCTTGAATGTGATAAGGCGCTATATCAAATGCAAGCATTATATAGTAAGTGCACTCTTCTTACCGCCTCTTTTCTTTCTGTGCTGGCCTTTCTTACCTTACCTTTCTTTCAATGATCTCCCAATCAATTGAGTCTATTTTGTGCGACAATGCATGAGGCTCATTGAATGCGAGACTATCCTGATCACTTGTCTTGTTTTGCACATGTGTAATATGAAACCTCTTTCCCTACTCCTGGGACTTGTCGGCTGGTGGCCTGATCCTGTCTCAGCACTTTATTAGAAACCATAGAAATTTACAGCATAGAAGGCTATTCGGTCCAGCGTGTCTTTGCCAGATCTTAAGAGCAGTCTCTCAGAAACCTGCCCTTTCCCCTTACACCTGCAGTTGATGCTGTTTTGGCTGATTGCCTATACTTGATATTAAAATACTTAATTTCTAGATAAATGCTGGTGCTGAACTTCAATCCCATTCTAAAATCTTTGTAGCCAGGTAGAGGGAGGCAACTGACTTTTCAATAACTTACTTGTAAAGTAGATTGGTATTAGGGCTTTAATCAATGAAATGGCAAAAGAGATTAGAGTAATGGATCAACTTGTTGATTAATTACTTGTGGCTGATTTGCATAGGTCATCTGACAATCTGCGAGACCTTTTCAACTGTGAGACAGGAATGTGATACTGGTATTGCTATGTACTAGAGGTTAAATGAAATGCTATCTGTCTGCAAGGTTTGGCAGGGGTGAGAATGCTTGTTCATTTATAGATCACTAGGATCTGATGTGTAGTGAGGAGTTCTTTTAGGAAAGGGAACACAGCTAATTTCTGCACAGCATTGTCCTACAAAAAGGCCATTAGGTGAATGACCAATTTAATTTGGGATTTTTGGCCAGGACATTGGAAGTATATTTTAAATAGTGTTATGGGATCTTTAACTTTCTGAACAGGCAAATGGGACCTTGGTTTAAAATCTCTGAAAAAGGGCACCTACAAGAATATTAGCACTTCCCTGAGCACTACGTTGGAGTTCAAAGTTCTGACGTGAAGCAGTCTTCCATATTCTGAAAGTTTATTCTAACCATTTTGACACTTGTGCTGAAATTGCTATCCTGAAACTGTTATCCTATCAATTTTTCAAGAGCAAGAATATAATCTTTCACTGTTTGTTGCATCAAACTTTCATTTTTAACTTCCATTGGAAATTTGGGCCTTTGTCAGAATTATAAACCTCCTATCACTAGTGTGAACCTGTGCATCTGTGGAAAGTCAGCGTAATCTTGGTGTAACTGTTACAGTAATGTAACCATGCTGTCCTCTGGCTACAAATGGGGTATTCCATAGTGTAGATTCCCACTGCTGCTGTTGCGCACTTTCATCAAACATTTATACTTTGTTCGTACTCTTTACAGAACCCAAATTGCATTCTGCTGTTAATCTGCAGGTTTACAGCAACCCTGGGAACGCTCCTGAAATGCTAGTTTTACTATTGTATTTGTTCAAGATTCTGAAAATGGCCGGTTATCAGCCAGAAGTGAAAGTGATCATTAAGTCTGCTGGATTTGTCCAGAAAGTTGAACTGGGGGTCATATCCGATAGCTGTTCTAATCTCATTGTCTATGAAGGCTCTGTTTACATTGCAGAATAAGCAGCCAAAGCATATTGAATTTAGCTTGCGGTCATTCAAATGAATAGCACTGTGGATTCTTCACTTCAATTCTAATTTTCCAGAAAGAATACTACTATAGGGAATGTTAATTGATGACTATTTTGAAATACAGGAGGTTTGGATATGCTGTTCTCTGAACAGAAAATAGTGCTGAAGTGGGGGGGTGGGGGGGGAAGCCCCTGTTACTCCTGTTGATTTGCCTAGTGAGAAAGTTTGCGTAGTGTAACACTGTTTGAATTGATGCCAGTAGCTGCACAACAACAACAACTTGGATTTACATAGCTCTCTCCACGCCGGACGGCGTCTCAGCGCTTCACAGTAATGGATCCTGGAGCACAGCATGTATTGTGCTGATTTCAGTAGGGCAAGCTCTTCAGAGAACAAGCTGAAAGAGACTGGTGAATTGTGCAACTTTAGACTCTTGGCATGTTACATTTATTGGTTTTGGATATATGATCCCACGGAACAGTTAAGGCAAGAGAAGCCATTTCACTTTTTTTGGGAGTTTTGTATTACAACTCTGTCGTTGCACAAGAAGCAGCACTGCCCCACCCCACCCCCACTAAAGTGATGGTGGAACCTTTAGTTAATTGTAACGCATGCCAGTTAAACAATTGCTATTGTCTTCAATGTTCAGCTGCAAAGTTTGGCTGGTTAAACTCCAGTAATATGCCTAGGTGCATACCCCCTTCATCCAGGCTTTGCTGTCATGAACCTGTGCCTAATCTCTTAGTTAAGCAGGGTGCTTACTCGAAAATTGAGCCATACATAGGTGAAATTCTCAGCATGGAAGTGTGTTGATGCTCCCCTTATCCCTCAGTCTTGGAAACCTAGGTGAATGATCTTTCCTTTCTTGCAGTACCATGGAGAGACGATCCGGAATGTCCGTGAAGCAGCAGAGAGCTTCAAATTAAATCCAATTTTTTATCGGCCAGTGGGCATTGCTCTGGACACAAAGGGACCTGAAATCCGCACTGGACTCATCAAGGGAGTAAGTACTTGTTCCATTTAATTAATGCAATTATGATCCAGTAGAATGAGGGTGTTTAATTGAAAGTATTGTCCAGGGTGACACTACAATATGTAGTAGAACCTCAGTGAAAGCCAAGTTTCAAAAAGGCAGGAGAAGGTAAAAGTGTTTTTTTGGGTTAGACATTTCAACTTGTTCTAAACTAAAGTGAGTAATGGGGAGGTTTAGTCAAGGGACTGGTGAGAGGTGTCCTGGATGTCATTGTATGTGGAAGTTAGCCTTGTCCTGCAGATATCCAAGTGGAGCCCTGGGATACACTACATGTAACTGAGCTAGGGGTGTGATAGGAGAAATCAAACCAGAAAAATTGTGGTCTAAAGACATTGAGCTGGGTGTCTAGAATGATCATATCAAAAGCGGTGATAGGCATTCGAGTCATGATAATTTTCAGGACTGGAATGTGGTTACAGGTGGGGTTGGTATGCAGAAGATGGGAAGTTTTAGACTAAATAGAGCTGAGGGTAAGGTGGCATCCATTATGGACACTTCCTGATCTTACATTTGGCAAAGGAGGTTAGTTAGAAACTGGGTTGGGATTAGTAGTGAAGAGGAGGATCCTTGGGTTGTCTTGCCCTCAGCTCAGTGATGTGATCTACACTTTACAATGTTAACTTTCTGTTCCAGGCAATCAGTCTTCCTGACTCGACTATGTTAAACCATGCTGTACTTGGCATGCATTCAATCCACCCCGTCCAGTGTTTTTAGTTCCAAAATGTGGTCTGCCTTTGTACTAACAATCCCTTTGTTTGCAGAGTGGCACCGCTGAGGTGGAATTGATAAAGGGAAACAAACTTAAAGTCACTCTAGATGATGAATTCAAAGAAAAATGTGATGAAAATGTCCTGTGGGTAGACTACAAGCATCTGATTAAAGTGCTTGATATAGGCAGCAAAATCTATGTGGACGATGGCTTGATTTCCCTTCGTGTGCTGGAAAAATGTGAGTGCTCTTCTTTCTGATGGTTAATTCATGCAAAATGAACATTACTTATGCTAAAATATTTCAAGTCTTGCAGCAATGCCTCACTAAACATGATGCAAATTAAAATTACTCCACACGGCCATACTTGATGAGAAAAAATGTTTATCTTGAATACCATTAAGGCTCGGACGTACTTTTATTTTTTAATTTCATTTGTGTGCTATACTCATCGTTCTTGCATTACTCACTTCAGATTTTCTTATATTCTAGGTGCCCATCATTGTATGACTGAGATTGAGAATGGAGGTACGCTGGGTAGCAGGAAAGGTGTGAACTTGCCTGGCGCAGCAGTTGATCTCCCAGCCCTTTCTGAAAAAGACTTGAGTGACTTGAAGTTTGGTGTTGAGCAAAATGTAGATATGGTATTCGCCTCTTTCATCCGTAAGGCGGCTGACGTTCACGCAGTCAGAAAGGCGTTAGGCGAGAAAGGAAAGAACATCAAAATTATCAGCAAGATTGAGAACCATGAGGGAGTGGTCCGGTGAGTAATCATTACTCATTCAAGCGCTCTTGAGACGCTACACTACGTGGAAGGTGCTATATAATTGCTACTTGTTGTTGTGCCTGTATTCTATAACTGAAGATGCCCACTTATTCAGACCCAGTAGGATAACCTAAGTAGATAATGTCCACTGGGCTCACGTTTTCAGCCTTTCTCACACGGAAATGCCTCATAGTTTTGAGGATGTGTGCCGACAGGTGCACAAATTTCCCAAGGCACTATCGTTGAGGTTATGAATAGAATTTTCTAGGTGTAGTAATGTGACAATAACAGTAATGCATAGTTCATTAGCGATTTTGATCTCTTCAGATAGTTTAGAGATGTGATCATGCTGGTCGGTCGTGTTTTCATGACTGCAAGCTAGGGGGGAAAAAGGGAGCTTGAGCAATATCCACCCTCCCACCCAAAGAAAACCCCCATGGCTTTGTCTTACTAAATCGTTGCAACTGATTCATTCCCAATATCAGTCATAGCTTGTTATGAATACCAATATGCACTTTTTAGATTTGATGAGATTCTGGAGGCGAGTGACGGCATAATGGTTGCCCGTGGTGACCTCGGTATTGAGATTCCTTCAGAGAAAGTCTTCATTGCCCAGAAAATGATGATCGGACGCTGCAACAGAATTGGCAAGCCTATCATCTGCGCTACTCAGGTATGTCATGTTGCCTCTTTCTGAGTTACTAGGGAAACTACAAGGATGTGCTCATAGTGCATAGCTTGCAGGTTGGATCTTTTGAACTTTTGGGGTTTCAGCTGAAAGGGCAAGAGAGAACCTACACTAGGATTAATGATTTGCTTGATTAAACGTTGGTCTGGTATTTCACACCTTTTCTGGAAGGGAAGAAATGGCTCCAGGTTTGAACGAAGAATGAAGTAAAACGAACACGAATTGGGCAGTGAAGTATTGTTAGTTCAGCGCTTTGGGACGTCCTCCTGACATGAGAGGCACTCTATAAATGTAATTTTACTGCTGTTGTTTAATTAATTGAGCCTGTGGTTTGCTGGCTTTCAGATGTTGGAGAGCATGATCAAGAAACCCAGACCTACACGAGCCGAGGGAAGTGACGTAGCCAATGCTGTTTTAGATGGCGCTGACTGTATCATGCTCTCTGGAGAGACTGCAAAGGGAGACTATCCACTTGAAGCTGTCAAAATGCAGCACCTGGTAAGTAATGAACTTGCATCTGACTCGGCAAACAAATTTTTTTGCTCTAATTAATCAATAACAGACCAAAGTACCTCGCAGAAATTTAATCTGAGAACTGCATTGTTATTTAAAGGTGGGTTATATATCAGAGATAAAACTTAATCTTGGTCCTGAAGCATGTGTTGCTCAAATTAGCAAATAAAGTGCCTATGCTTCTGCTTGGTTTTCGTTTGTAAAAGCATTTTACAAACAGTTACTGTTGCTCGCTAATATTACCCCCCTTACTGTACAGGAAAGCATTTCCTGTACAGTAAGGGGGGTAATATTAGCGAGCAATCTGTTGTGAGACCCCCGTTGTTGAATACATCCCTCTGTTTGGAAGTGACCTATCCAACCCCTAGTGCCTTCTCACTCAGCATGGGTGAGATGGGGAGCTTCATGCGAGCTTGATGGGGAGTTGTCGAGGACACAAAGTAATTTCTTTGAAATCGTTCGGGGTATTGAACATGGTAGCCCATAGACAAATTCTAGTGCAGCATGTTGCATTTCAGGTTGTCTTTATAATTGAGATTGTTTGCATGTATTAGGATTGTTTAAAATTAGATATTAAATGTCCTAGATAAAATATTTATTCCTATGGTGTAACTTTTAAATTTGGTAATGGTTTCTCAATGCAGAGTGGAAAATGTCAATTTAACTGTTGCCTGTTTATTTGTACAGTAATGTACCTATGAGAATGGTATCAACCAAAAACCTTGTGCTCGCTTTGTTGTGACCTGCTTCTGTTAGTATTCTTGAGCAAATTGGAATGTGCATGACTCGTCCTGAGTGGCTACTGACTGGAAACCAGCCCTATTTCAGCTCGTCCAGACTTCTTCATAGAGGGGAACTGTACAATGAGCCTGTGTCCTCTGTCGTCAGTTGAGCAACTGTACACCACCTCTTTCTAATCAGTCTGAGCAAAGTCCAGATGCAAACTAACCTCTATTTGGTCTTAATCTCACATACATGGAAGAATGAGCATTTCACAGTTACTTCCTCGTTCTGTCAATCTTTGCATGTCTTTACTTGCAGAATACATGTAGACTGTTAACTATTCTAATTCAGATTAATTTCATTTGGGCTCTTGCCTAATATATCTGCTCTATGTATATTCTGCCTTCCTCTACACTAACTCTAACGCTAAAGTTAATCTTACCTTTTCAGATCTGGTTTATTGGTGCTTGCTCAAGGCATTTAATGAATGATATGATTCAAGCTGTGCTTGATACAAAATGTTGTGTGTGGGTTAGACTTGGGTTACTATAGGATGACCAAAAAGTTGTGATAACTGCTCTATTATCTAAAAATATCTATCATCATTTCTTTAAGACCTATTAGACATTGTAATAGTATCACAACTTTTTAGTCACCCTGTACCTACTAGATTTAATACTAAAATGAGTAATTGCATAAAGTTTTGGGGTTAAAGCTGATCAGTCACTAATGCCTTGACCAGTATTTGAAATTAACCCACTTGTGTTTGAATTGTTCAAATTTGGTTTATGGTTCTAAGTTATTCTGAAGCAGGACTTTTGAGGGTGAACATTTAATTTGCTTTAATTGCCAGGTAGTTGGATGTAAGTGAAGGAATGTTTTCATTGGGTGCTCCAGAATTCAATATACGTGAAAACTTAAATTGGTATTGAATTAACTTATTCTTATTATTAGAGTAGTGCAGACTTTCACCCTGCACTGGGATATACAGAGATAAGGGTGGGACCAAATGCTATAGTGTTCCATAGCTGAATGCCACCTCAGTTGTGGTTGTGCTCAGTCAGTCGACAAAATATTCCCAGCAATTGGCAGAGGATGGATTTCCTTGTATTCATCTGTGGTAGCTCATGTTTTGGGTATGATTCAATGGCTCTCAGGAGCCTTTGCCCAACTAGCTATTCCAAGGAAATCTCCCAATTTTGTCCAGTGACTGCTAGCCAGCTTATGATGTACCTCAACAGTCCTGACCCTGAATGATTCCAGTTGAGAATTAAACTGCATGTATTTAGCTATGGGTTGCATCATCCAAACTAATTGCATGTTTTAGGTAGTGGTTGTGCAACATTGGATGGCTTGTTCTAAGCCATGGTCACTGAACTTTTGACCATTATTTAAACCTCACGTTTGACTATCTGATCTGTTCTGAATATAACTTCTGTATTGGTTCAATCCAAAATTGCATGCTTGTAGTTGTGGCAGTGTGAGGAACTTTTTAGTGTTCAACCTACTTGTAAATTAGAGTGTGCTCTTGAGAACTTTTAAGTTAGGTTGGTGCCAATCTAGCATGCTGAATTAACTTTGAACTAAATGGGCCCTTGGCTCTTTATATTCTAGCTTTTTTAAAAAAATCTAAACAATGTAAACATTAAAGACAGTGTTGCAGAACTCTATCACAATCAGAAACTAGACTAATTTACCTGATGCTAACTCGTTTGCATCTCTCTTCCTGTCTTTCTCTTTCGTGGTTTACAGATAGCTCGTGAGGCAGAGGCTGCAATGTACCATCAACAAGTGTTTTCGGAGATCTGTCGTCTCTCAACTATCTCCCCAGACCCCACGGAATCTACTGCCATTGGTGCCGTGCAGGCCTCTTTTAAATGCATTGCTTCTGCAATTATAGTCCTGACCACCTCTGGCAGGTATGGTAGATCAACAGTAAACTGGTGCAAGGTATAGAGGTAACATTAGGCCTTGCAGCCTTGAGTCCTGGTATCTGGATAACATACCTTTGAGGCCAATTTTGTACCTTACAATTAAATTGCTACATCCTGAACTTGGGTTCAGCTCAGACTAATGCATAAAATAAAGTTGATTGGACCATATTTGTAAAGGTAAAGTACATTGATGTGAATTGCAAGTAATGTTGAATAGGCGGGTGAGTTTTAACCCATTGGTTTTGCCCACAAATGTACAGTCAATTCACTTTACCGTCTATTCTGTGAAGCGCTTTGAGATGTCTAGAAGACATGAAAAGCGCTATATCAAATGCAAGGATTATTATTATTGGAATTATCCAGTTTCCAGATGATAAAATGCTGCCAGGTCTAATGAACAAAGGGACAATAAAATATGGTTAAAAGGTGGGTACGACTTGTATGGATGTGGTGAATGGTGAAGTGTGATGACTGTTTGTGCTTTCCCTGGTGCTGTTTTTATGTTGCACCTATATAGATTTCTCGTGAGGCAGAGGCAGCTATGTACCACAAGCAGCTATTTGATGAGTTGTGTCAAGTCTCGCCTCTGACCCATGATATTACAGACACTGTAGCTGTTGGTAGTGTGGAAGCTTCTTTCAAGTGTTCTGCTGCAGGTATCATAGTGATGACTAAAACTGGAAGGTAGGAATGATCCCATTGCTTGCTGTTGAACTCTTTGACATTTCACCAATCTATTTTTGGAAAAGATGCAGTTGGTTACCCTTTTCTCTGAGTGCATGACACCGGTGCTGAAAATGTCAGTCAGATCCAATGTGGCAAAGTCTGCAGTCATTCTGGATCCCAAACTCATTCAATAGATAACTTGCAGATATTTTTATAAATGTAAAACTAGCTCATTGCTGACATTAGTGCTAGGATTATACATTGGAATGAAATGTCTTCAAGAACCTTTGTTCTTTAGTAAAAAGCTGCTTTTCTTTCACTCTAAAATTAAAGTGGTCTTCTGAAATAAGTGTCTGACATTTTAAAAGAGTTCACAGGTCGTGAAGTTTGATATGACTTAGCCAGTTGGATTACTAGAAGTTCAGCCTATTTTTGGTGAATGTGAAGCACTAGCATTTCAATGAACCTTGTGGGCTCTTTACATTTACCCATTGCATAGGACAATTTTAAGTTCCAAATCTGATCCCAAGGAGACACTTTAAAAAAAAAAAAAATCTCAACTTGGTGTTTGAAGAGAAAGTAGTGTGCTGTGGTGCTCCTGAGAGTTTTGTGGTAACTAGCTGTATTCTTGCAACTAAGCATATTCTCATTGTCTCTGAGCATTGCAGTAATTTATCTATTACATTTTCAATTTTCTCTTTGTTAGTCAACATTGCTGCTAATTAACTACTGATTATAGATAAAGTGTTGCTTTCATAGTAACTGGAAAATCCTTGTGTATAAAAGTATTCAGATCTTTGTAGTTTTATGTAATGGGCATTCATTTGGGAAAGGAAGTTACATCAGCTTTATTACAGTTTTCATTAATTATGAGGATATGCCAAATTCAATTGGCTACACTAAAGCTATTTTGAACCAAGCTACAGCTTCTACTTGCACCCTTACCGCAAACTGGGTAAAGGCTACCCACACCAGAAAGTTGTAAGTTTAAATCTCATGCCTTTAGCTGATCTTGGTTAGTGTGCTACAATTTGCCTCAGTCTCCAGAGTTACATACAGGAAAGTAACTGGCCCCACTCCTGATGTTGCCACCTCCAGTAGATCTACACTGTACATGGAATTTGTCAAGTGAGAACAGGACTCAGTCAATTGTGGTATAATTGTCCTGACTTGCAATGAGAATGTATGGGTGAAGCTCAAGCATGTAATGTATGATTAATCAGGCCATTTGAACCAATTCAGTTGGCTGGCTATTCTGGAAAGATGAGATTGCATGAGCTAAAGGGCCTTCATCCATACCTATTACGGAATTGATCTAAACCCTTTGCAGGCAAAAAGCATTAACTTCGCAATTGTACTCCTAGTTCCTCTTCAGATTTGAACTGGCGGTTTGATAGTCAACATAAAATGACCCTTGTGTGGATTAAACTCCTAGTCTCTCTTTGTATTGGAAGTATTAAAAAAAACGTCTGGTATCCGTGTGGATCAAGTGACAGTTATAGCAGGATTGTCTCACAAGCCTTTGTGTGAACAGATGATTAACTTGCAGGTTCCCGTCACTGCTGATCTCTCCTTTTGGAATGCACAACCTGCAGGGAGTGACTTGTAAGTTGGATATTTTTCAGAAGCTGGCTAATCAGTGCTGAAAACCAGGTATAGCAACTGTCCACAGTGGCCCCTTTATTTGGTAATGCTTCCCAACACTTCAGGTTCATGAAAACATTATTGGGTGGCAGCACCTGTCCAGTTTACCTGCAAAATGGTCTACACTTAGCAAGCTTCCTGGTTAAAGTAGCTTTGCTTTATATGATTAGTGATGCAGAAGTGCTTTTGCCCTTGATAGAAATTGGGGCTCTAATTGACTTTAGACTGTAGGTCAAGCTCTCGCACATTGCAAATAACACTGTACAGTTTCCTACACTCTTGCTGCTGTGTTGATGAATGGTGATAGATGGATGGATGTTGCATTCTGTCTTAAAGTGAACGATACAAATGTATTGTATGTTTAAGCAGAGCATGACACAATGTCATATACTGGTGCCCGGTGGTGCATCATCACCTCAAGCAGCTGACCCTGTGATCATTCACATTCTGCTGTTTGAGGTGCCATCTTTCAGAAATACTAACTTCTTATTTTTGGTTAGGTCTGCACACCTGTTATCCAGGTACCGTCCACGAGCTCCCATCATTGCCGTAACTCGTAATGAACAGACTGCACGGCAGGCCCACCTTTACCGTGGTATCTTCCCCGTACTCTTCGCCGAGAATGAGAAAGGTGGATGGGCTGATGATGTCGATGGACGAGTGAATTTTGCGATGGAAGTTGGTAAGTTGCCTTCCATTTGGGAAGCTTCCCAAAACGCCTCGGAAGGGAACTTTGGTTCGCGGATCTCGTAAAATACTCACACGCGACTCTTGTTTCTCTTTCAGGCAAGGCTCGTGGGTTCTTCAAGATTGGCGACCTGGTGATTGTGATGACTGGCTGGCGCCCAGGCTCTGGATCGACAAACACCATGCGTGTTATGCCAGTTTCCTGAATGAAGGAACCAATTCCTGATGCTTGCTGCAGTTCCCTCTCCCCTTAGGCAGCTACAGCTTTCAGTGAACTGCAGAGCAGTTAGTTGCCAACTGTTAACCTTAAGTGAAGCACCTCCATTTAAAAGTCAGTGCAAAGTTCTTGTTTTGTCTTCTGCTGCTCCCGATCATCACTCTTAGCTCTGCTATACCACACCTGAATGTCTATAAAAGTAGTATTGTGCCCTTCAAGTAAATCAGTGGTTGACACATGAGCTTTTTAGAGCTCGGTAATGCACTCCAGTATTGGTAAAATACACTGCTTCGAATTGAAACTAGTAGTGACTTTCTGAAATGCCCAACTTTTCTGTGTTTAAAAACAAGCAATCTAGTTCTGCACTGAGGTAGATCAAGACAATTCACTGGATGTAACGTGCTGTTGTGAATATAGGAATAAATGTATTTAAACTGTTGCACGTTTTGTCCTATATTTAAACTGTTGCACGTTTTTGTGGGTGACCAATAAAAGCTATTGCTGATCCTCATGAGTATTATTGACTTGTGCACCAAGTAGCAGTTATAATACTTACATTTGGTGCAGCACCTAAAGTGCCTCAGCCTTTTACTGTCGGGTTTGCCTTGTAGGCAAATTTCATTGCCAACATGCACACAGTAATGTCCCATAAATGGCCATGAAATGAGTGCTCAGTTTTATCTGGATGATTATTGGCTGGAACACCAGGATAAACTCGCTTCACTTTTGGAATCGTGACAGGTATTTAGCATTCACCCAAATGGGCAACTGGCACCTCAGGTTTAACTTCTCATCAGAAGGACTGCCAATGCAGCACACACTCCCCCTTCAGCACGAGCCAAGCCTGTAAAGTTCTGACATGAAGCTTAAGCTCATGACCGAACCGAGTGCAACTGGCTAACCCAGCTGCACAAATTGTATCAAACAAGTATTACTGCTGCAAAGGGCTTAGTAGTAGAGAAGGTGGATTGGGAGTCAGAATGAATGATAACTAACCAAACCCGGCAGTGCTTGGAAACCTGCCTGAACATGCAAATACATTTCTTGAGATTGGTTCCCCTTTCTGATCAGCCCCCTGCCTTACTAAGGGTTCACAGCTAAATTAAAAACATTGATGTATTTGTTTTTTTTAATTAAACCTGTTGGGTTGATTCATAGTCCCTGACTGCAAACTGATGCATTCAGTTTGGCTTCAGTGCTTGGCAAATTGAAGTAGTTTTGCACGTTCAGCATCATTTATTCCATTACTAGGACCATCCTTGCATTCTAAAGTGATGTGAGTGACTATTTTGTAGGTGAACATTAACTCTGTTCAGCAGCTCACTACTAATTAAGCAAATCCGAGCCTTATTTATGCTACACTTGCTGTTCATTTAATCTTTATACATTAATGTACTCTGTAAAAACGGCCATGTAAACAGCTTCCCACATACTTGATTATTCCTGGTTCAATAAACTCAACTAATACTACTGCAGAAAACCTCAAACTACCTTTCACATTTAATCTTAATATTTGATGAATCTTGTACATCTGGTGGATGTCTCGAAGTGCTTCACATGGTTTTACTGTAAAATGTGACTATCCTGCAGGTGAAACTGGCAGCCAATTTGCACACAGCAATGTGCCCCACAGAAAAGCCATGAAGCAAATGACCTATTTTATGCAGGAGATTGTTGGCCAGGGCATTCGGTGATACTCCCTTTTCTTTTTAAATAGTGTCCTGGATGCTTTAATATCCACCTAAACAGGCGGATTTTTGTTTTTAACATCTCATCTGGAGGATGGTACCTCTGACAATATAAAGCTCCCCCAGCACTGCGTTGAAGTGCCAGCCTAGACTATAAAGTTCAAAGTCTTGATGTGATCCCTTCACTCTGGCACCTCCCTACCTCTCCGACCTCATTGCCCAATCCACCACCCAGGGCCTGTGTGTGACTAGTACTGGCCTCCTGCTCATCCCTCGCACCCTCCTCTTTGACCGTACGGCCATTCCCCCTCCTCACCCCCCCCCCCCCCCCCCCCCCCACAGCTCCGTGTCAGGCAAGTGCTCTGAGATGCTACCCTGATGGAGGGCACTATATAAGTGCAAGTTGTTGTTGATGTGGGGCTTGAGGGCCAGCCACTTGAAGTGTAGGCCATAATACAGAGATGACATGCTTGAAAGAATTTATTTGAAGGTAAGAGATTCTGACCTACAAAATCCAAATGAATGATGGCGTGGTGGTGGGAAGTTATATTTTCAATCTTTGTTACTCTGTTGAGACCATTCTAAGTCTCAGGGACTCAATTAGCTAAATTATAGATAACCTCAACAGGGGAGCAAAGAAGACCTATAATTACGCTCAAGGATAGAGTACTGCAGAAGCAATGTAACTACTGTTATTTACATCATCAGTGGGTGGGAGATGATTGAACAACTTGCATTTCTATAGTGTCCTTCAAATGGGATGGTGTCTCAGAACCCTAAAGCAATACTATGAGTTTCCACATTGTGGTGAATGCACTATTTGCTGTAATTTTCATGTGAATGGCATAGAATCTAAACCAGTCTACACAAAAATTATGCTGAAAACAAACTTCCAAAGCATATAGGAACCTACCTATTATCTGTACCCATTTCTGTCTGCATTTCATAAATCAATCCTTATATTTGGTATATTTCATGTCGGGAGGACGTTTCAAAGCGATTTGCTGTGAGGTGGAGTGAGTGCATTTGTAGGTGAATGCAGTCGCCCATTTGTACACAACAAAGTCCTGCAAACAGCCACGGCCACAAAGCTTAGTAAAACGTGCTGATTAAATCCCTCAACCGTAATAGATCCGCAGATTCTGTAGGGACAGATGGCATTGAATTCTCTTAAAAGTATCCCCATGAGCTGCTTAGTTTTGAGGATGTTTACGAATGGAATGAGAAGATGTGAAACCTTCAAAGAAATGGTGGAATAGTCGAGAGCAAAAATGAGTCCATGTTGTTAATTTTCAAAACAACAACAAATTACATTTGTGCAGCACTCTTCACGTCTGGAGGACGTCCCAAACCACAGGCATCAAATACTGCTATCTATTATTTATTTACCACTGGAGACGCGGACACTGGACTAGGCGAGGCACTGTGCTGGACTCTGAAATCTAGTTTGGTACAATAACAATCAGTGTCTGTGATTTATATAAATATTCAGACCAATTGTCTTGGCCCATTTGTAAATTGCAATTGACCACATTTTGTTGGCGCATTGCATCGTTTCAAATTCCTGTAGATTTCAGAAATGGAGATGAAGATTGAAGTATCTAAAACAGGCTCTAACAGAGCAAGGAGTGAGTTCAAAGTATAATGTACAATCTGTGTGCTTAATTCACACTGTTAACAGTCAGTGCTCGCTGATTAAACTGAACAAGGCAGATTAATATTTTTTATGGGATGTTAAAAACTGATTATTGCACGTAATCTGCAATCTTTTAAAAGCTTAACCGCATTAAGCTTGTTTAAAGCTGGAAATGCTGAGTAAACTAAAAATTCATCCGACATTAACCTATCCTTCATTTCCGGCAGGTTTGTGTTTTGTAGTATTGAAAGCTGAAATACTGCAGAGGGCAGTATTTGACTGACTAAACTGTACCTGAGAATCGAATCAGTGATTTTAACTAATGGCAAAATAGCTTAAGTGGAGGAACCGACAAAGTAATCAGAATGGCTGTTCAATTGTTTGACATGTTACATTTTGATTAATTATAAATTAATAAGTTATAGGTTTATTATAAATAAATTATTCAAAACAGGAATTTTTCCCAGTGTCCTGACCCATCCCCCCAATAGAATTGGTCACTGTTTGTTGGATGTTTCTGTGGGCAAGTTGGCTGCCGTCTTTACCTACAATAAATACACATTCCCAACACACTACGATAAATCCTGTGAAACACTGAGAACTCCTGTCTATATGAAAGGTGCTTTTATCAAAAGCAGAGATGATTATTATAATATTTGTATTACATATTTCCTGAAATCTATGGCTTTAGCCAATGAATAGACACCTCAGCTGGCATGATGGAAACCTTGTGTTTGCTGTATATACACATGTATTTTATTGATTACATATATATCGCACATATGCCATAGATTACATATATTGAGTACATTACAGGTACTGCAAGTACTCCAAACATCATAGTGTTTAGATTACATATGTATTTAATACATATGCTGTATAGATTACACATAGGTATTACATATACATTACATAATAATCCTTCCATTTGATATGGCGCCTTATCACTTCTTCGAGATTTCTCAAAGCATCTCAGAATATACTGTGAAGTAAATTGACTATATTTTATGGGCGAAACGCGGCAGCGAATTGCGCATTTGCAAGGATACATTTGCAAGATTCAGTAGACTTAAAACGAGTGAGATGCCTCTGTTCTACTCTCATCTTTGCGGCTTGAAATAGTTGTCCCTGGTTCGTGTATAACTCGATAGGAGAGATTCGAACCTTGTGACAAGTAAAATAAATATCCTGCACGCCATTGATGCTGAGGACAAAAGTGTTCTTTTTCTCTCTCGCACTTTACATCCCACTAGGTGCCTATCAGTCTTCTCCAGTTAGCCTGATCACCAAAGAGACTCGTGGAGACTTTATTTTGCTGTGAAATTGCTCATTGAAGGAGCCCAAATTTCCTGTGACTGTCCTTTATCGCCTTTTGACTGGTTTGACTGTCGTCCCAAAGTATACTAAAGTAATAACAATAATAATAATCCTTGTTCAATTTACAGTATATTCTGTGAAGCGCTTTGAGACGTCTCGAAGACGTGATAAGGCGCTATATCAAATGCACGGACGATTATTATATTAAAAGAGCAGCCGACAAACCTCTTTCTGATAAATTATTAACCTTCAAAAAGAGATCCAGATCAGAGGGCTTTACTGCGTTTGCTTTTTCACTACAAAAATATTTTCACTGGCCTCCCAGGGAGAACAAGCACCTTGGGGGTGGGGGGTGGGAATAGATGTGAGTCAGATGGTTTCCATGGAACCGTATACCGTATACCAGTAGACTTTTTTAAAAAAAAGGATCAAAACACTTTTACAGAAAAGATGGAGAGAATAATGGCAGGGAGAGCAAAGGAGAAAAATATTTTGAAAAACTTGCTGTTGAAATGAAAATAAATATCCACAGAACCCGAAGGCTTGGGACTGAATAAATGACTTGTGCGTCTGAGCTGCAAATGATTTTCCAAAGCCTCCTGACAACCTGCCCACAACAACACAATCGTCCTCCCCTTTTCAGGTGAAAATGCCCTTTGAAAATAACGATTTTAAATGAACAATAATAATAATACTAATAATCATAATCCTTGTATTTGATATAGTGCCTTATTACATCATTGAGCCCTCTCAAAGGGCTTCACAGGATATTCTGTAAAGTGTAGTGACTGTATTTTGTGGGCGAAACATGGCAGCCAGTTTGCGCACAGCACTGTCCCACAAACAGCCATCGGGTGAGTGACCA